CCTCCTTGGCTCTTTTGCAGACCTTGCTTCTGTTCCTGAACATTCTTCCTCTTTTCCAGTTCCCCTGATGGCTGACCCAGTTAACTCTAGAAAAGTACATGTCTTCTTCCAGTCGTTTCTCTGTTTCTTTTCAAAATAGATGTGGGGGCAGGGGGGAGGGACAAAGAAATGCCGCTCCCCTTGGGAGTATGGCACTGGGGGAGGAGAGCTGCCTGTTTCTCTTGAAAACGAGATCAGAAAGATGTTGGAGCCCAGGCTCGGGAGCCCTGGGAGGCCAGGCCCGAGGCTGCCCACCGCCACTGCCGCTGCTGCCTCCACACCTGAGCCGGCCCTCCACAGCGGGCACGCGGCCAAACATGGCTCTGTCCTTGTGGTGCAGCTGCAAGAAGAAGAAAGCCAGCCAGCTCCAGGCCGACCGCCCACTCTTGAAAAGCACTTGGTTAAATGAAGCACCAAAGAGCAATTCCAGTCCCCATAGAGCTGTGGCAGGAACTTAACCAACGTCCCCAGGGCCGGGCAGACCCGGCTCCATCCCAGTCACCAGCCGGGGGACACGCTCCAAGGAAAGGGGGCAGAGGGCCCAGGCCACCTGAGGAGCGCAGGGCCTGACCACGCCAGGCAGGGCCTGACCACGCCAGGCAGGGCCCTGACCACGCCAGGCAGGGCCTGACCACGCCAGGCAGGCCCTGACCACGCCAGGCAGGGCCCTGACCACGCCAGGCAGGGCCCTGACCACGCCAGGCAGGGCCTGACCACGCCAGGCAGGCCCTGACCACGCCAGGCAGGGCCCTGACCACACCAGGCAGGGCCCTGACCACGCCAGGCAGGGCCCTGACCACGCCAGGCAGGGCCTGACCACGCCAGGCAGGGCCCTGACCACGCCAGGCAGCAGGGCCCTGACCACGCCAGGCAGCAGGGCCCTGACCACGCCAGGCAGCAGGGCCCTGACCACGCCAGGCAGGGCCTGACCATGCCAGGCAGGCCCTGACCACCCCAGGCAGGCCCTGACCACGCCAGGCAGGGCCCTGACCACGCCAGGCAGGGCCCTGACCACGCCAGGCAGGGCCTGACCACTCCAGGCAGGCCCTGACCACGCCAGGCAGGGCCCTGCCAGCAGGAAGTAACCCTGGCCACCGCGACCGAGGTGCTGGCTGCACATTGAAGCATGTGGCTGCTGTGTGTGTGTGTGTGTGTCTGTGTGATTCCCCCAGGGTCACGTGGTGACGTGGCTGTGACAGTGGCTGTGACATTGGCTCATTCCCCCCTTCCTGTCCCCATGGCTGCCTTTTCCAGGGACCTCTCCTAGAAGTCACTCCACCCTCCACGGACTTCATTTCCTGAAACTTCATTTCCCCCGAAATGTCTAGTGTCCCAAGTTAGACTCAGGGCACCGTCCTGGGGTGGGAGGCGGGGTGGGCGATGGGGAGGGAGGGGCGGGAGCCGGGGTGGGAGCCATCCTGGGGTGGGCACCGCAGAGCGTCTTCTGGCTTCGGCCCTTGTGAATAGCACTGGGGCAGATCGGACCGCGTCCTCTGCACCTCTGGGTCCTCAGGACCCATTCCTAGATGGGAAAGTACGTGGGAAGCCCTCGGCCCGCACTTCTGCCCTGGCCTCCCGGATGGCGCTACCATGGCCTTTTTTGCTCAAGAAGAGGCGGGCTCCACATCTGGGATCCAGGGCTTTTTCTCCAGAGGAATGACATGTGCCTGGCTCGGCCTCTCTCCAGCTGGTTCCCAGGCGGCAGCGGGGCCCAGCCAGGCTTTGAAGACGAGCTCCGTCCGGAGCAGATTCTTGGCTTGCAGGAGCCCTTGTCTCAGAGCAATGTCATCCGGGAGCTCATTAACGCCAGCCACTTTGGGAATAACAACCCATTTGGCAGATCCCATCGGCCCAGCCAAATGCCCTCCTCCTCTAGCTGTTGTGGGATTCTTTCGTAACTCCCCGTGCCCCCATGGGTTTCCGTGACAGAGCCCTGGAAAAGAGGCCATTTCTCCAATTTAGGACACAAATAAGCTCAATCTTCATTCCCCCTCCCCCCAAATAACCATTATTGCTTTTCCTTTTCCTCGCTTCCTGGCAGGGGGGGGGGGCAGAGGACCCAGAGCCCCTCCCCACCGGGAGCCCTGTGGCCCTCCTCTGGAGGATCCGAGCTTGACAAGATGGCAGCTTGGGAAACGCATGCGATGCTTTGGCCTCTTCCTCTTCTGTAAAATGGAGATGGTGTGGTTTCCTCCTCTATGGGACTCTGCCTCTTACTAACGTGTCTGCTAGGCAGAGTTGGATCCTGGCAAACCTGCCTGCTATTCTTGTACTTAGCTTCATTTCCAAGTGTCCAAAGCAGGGGCCAGCTGATGCCGGTGGCTCACGCCTGTCATCCTAGCTACTCAGGAGGCTGAGATCTGAGGATTGTGGTTCAAAGCCAGCCAGGCAAGAAAGTCTACAAGACTCTTATTTCCAATTGACCACCAGAAAACTGGAAGTGGTGCTGTAGCTCAAGTAGTAGAGCGCCAGTCTTGAGCAAAAAAAGTTTCAGGGCAGTGCCCAGGCCAAGGACTGCACACCCAACAAACAAACAGGGACTGTGTGGTAGAGGAGAGAGAGGAATCAGGCCTGAACATTTCTACCGCAGGAGACCACCAGAGGCCTGACATGGCCACAGACAGAGGTGTCAGCCAGGACATCTGTCATCAGAGGAAATGGTTCCTGTGTGTGTGTGTGTGTGTGTGTGTGTAGGGGGTGTATTTCTCCCACTCTCCCAGTGACTATTTCTCCCCTCAAATAAGAACACATCCCAAGTTCAAGGACAACTTTTTAATCACAACCTACGATTCACAAACACTTCTACTGGGTAAGTGGCCTGGGCTGGAGGCCAGAACTCTCATGGTGGTTGCAAGCACACCGAAGACCCAGGGCTGGGAACACCTCCTGGAGGGAGGAGAGCCAAGTCTCAGCTCTACCTCCAGCCAGGGTGTGTCTGGGCTAATCCCACAGCTGGAGCAAGGTAGGACCAGGCCCTGGCTTGCCATCCGCACCAGCCTCTGGTGCCACTGCTGTGCCAGAGCCAGGCTGGCAGGCCGCCCGGGCCGCCTACACAATGCTCTCGGTGCGCTTGCTCCTCCAGACCACCAGCATGGTCATGAGCAGGGTCACCGTGATAGGGACCACGATGAAGGGGCAGAGGATGGTGTTGGGGGGGTCCCGGACAATCCTGCCCGAGACGGGACAGCTGCTGAAGTAGCGCTGGTGGATGGCGATGAAGAACTTGTCCACTTCTGCGTTGGGCCAGAAGCGTCCCAGCTTGTCCGCCACGCTCCTGGTGCAGTCGGTGAGGTCCCCGTAGCTCCTGTGGGTGCAAAGGGAGGGGCTGGAAGCCCAGTAGGGCTCTCGGCCCTGAGGTGGTGGCCCCCAATTCGACGTGGAGGGCTCTCCCAGACTCCTGTCCCTAGAGACTCATGGCCACCACCAGTGAGCCAGGAGCCAGGCTGCCTCTTCTCCCTGGGCAGGGGAGGGAGAGGAGGGGGGAAGGGTCCACTGTGCTCCCTACCTGCCCAAGGGAACCCGAGAGTGGCTCTTTCCTGCCAGGCCCCAGGGTCGCTCTGGCAACATCGAAGGCCCAGGGGCCCAGGTCTGAGCAAAACCATGGAGGTTGGGGCCAGGCCGCTCCCTGGATGTGCCAAGAGGGGATCCACAGCTGGCCACAGAGTCCCCAGGAACTGCCCGAGGTGAGCAGAGCGGCTGCGCTGCCCAGGAACTGCCCGAGGTGAGCAGAGCGGCTGCGCTGCCC